GTACAAGATGTCGTTGGTCGAGATGATTGGCATGACGCCGTGCAACAATACTTTTTAATTGCGTATGCCCTCATGAAGGACGAGAAAGAGGCCAGTTATGATTGGGTTCTCGACAAGTCGAGACTTCTCATAGGCTACACGGTAAGAATTTATATGAAGTATGATTAATTTAATTAGTATATAAACGTACTTTGTGCAATATGGTAATTGAGGTTTTTTTTGCGTGTCTCACTAATTTTTGACGCTGCTCAGGTGCATCCTAATGCGGTTGTCAGTGACAGAGAGTTGGGCTTATTGACTCCTATTAGGAGCATTTTTCCCAATCTACCCACTTACTCTGCACGTGGCACATCAACAAGGATGTGGAAAACAAAGTGTACAACTTGTTTGGGAAAGATAAAAATTGATCTGAGAGGTTCTTGCGCGGTCGGTGGAAGTCGATTATGGATGCCAGTACGTCGGATGAGTACGACACTGCCGTAGCTCAATTGAATGCAAAATACGGGAATGATTCAAAAGTGGTACAATATCTCGAGCAGACGTGGCTATGCCACAAGTAGAAGTTTGTGAAAGCCTAGACGAACCAAGTAACACATTTTGGCAACACAACTACCTGTAGGGTAGAAAGTGCCCACTCTGTGTTGAAGCAGTGGCTTCACACGTCGACTGGCGCGCTAGATACAGTGTGGCATAAGATTGATAAGGAGATCGAGTCTCAATTGACTGAAATCAGGTACATTCCTCAAATATATTATATATAAGTATAATATATTATATTATATAAGTATATTATAATTTGTTTTGTAATGTATTAACAGGACAGCACTTGAGTCTTCTAGACTTAGGAAGAGCACGACATATACGGGATTGACTTTCGCGTGCTTGATATTGAGAGTCTCGCATTACTGTATGAATTTATTGAACGATGAGCTAACAAGGATGCGAGACTTGAGCCATGAAGTTTACTGGCGCTGCGGCTGTGTATTGCCTACCACACATGGAATTCCTTGTGCATGTACGCTTCGTACAGCACATGATTCTAAAATGGCGATTGGTATTGACATGATCCACGAGTTCTGGAAGACACTAGAGATGTTAGAACCAGGTAATTTGTGGTTAATGTTTATTTATAATTTTCTACTTTGTGATTCATTTTAAATTACACATTAAAGTGTATTACTTTGAAAAAAAAAAGGTGCAGGCAGGTCACACGACTCGTGTGCCTAGTGACACGGGTCGTGTGATCCTCACACGACTCGTGTCACATGGTCATACGAGTCGTGTGCCTACTGAGGAGAATGGATCAAAAGCCACGGGGTTTTCACACGACTCGTGTGCCCAGTGACACGGGTCGTGTGACACTCACACGGCTCGTGTCATCCGGTCACACGAGTCGTGTGCTTACTCAAGAGAAATGTTTAAAAGCTACGGGGTTTTCACACGACTCGTGTGCCTGTGACACGGGTCGTGTGATCTCACACGACTCGTGTCACATCTTCACACGAGTCGTGTGACTAGTGACTCTCTGAAAATCTGGTTAATGTTTATTTATAATTTTCTACTTTCTGATTCATTTTAAATTACACATTAAAGTATATTACTTTGTTTAATTGTCTCGATTTTTGGATCGTATACTTTTAGTGCTGGAACACGCCGACGAGGCGGTCCTACCCACGGATCGATATCGGATACCAAACATGTACATACATGATTTCGAATAAACCTAAGCATGCTCCTAAAGGACGAACAGAGATGTACCTTTCTTGAAGGCTTTGATTCGATCTGAGCGATCTTCTAGTCTGTGTCCCGACCACGTTTGGACGCCGGATGGACGACGATCCTCCAAACGGTTGAAAGGAGCGGATTGCCTTTTTGTTCTTCTCTGAACCCCTCACGTTTCCTTCTTCCTTCTCCCACGTTGGTGTGGTGGCTGAAGACGTGAACTAATCTCTTAGGATTTCAGAACGTGGGCTTATCCCTCCTTTTATAG